ATATTTTAAACAAATATGTATAATATATATATGTTTTAAACAAATATATATATAATATTTTTTAAACAAATATATATAATATTTTAAACAAATATTTTATAAAAAAAATATATATCTTTCTGTTTAGATGCAATAAAAATGGAAGCGTTAAATAACATAATTCTTCGACTTTTCTTTAAAGTAGAATAGTACAAATTCGTTCTTATTGAAAAAACTGGATACGTTGAAAATGTGAATAAGATATTACTTTCAAACATTTTTTCGGCTACAAGTTCGACGGCATCTATACAAAAAGTTCAATATACAAAAGTTTTGTATCTAGATACAGATACAAGAAATGAAATAAAGTAATGTACAATGTACAGCATCTAGAACTTGAATTAAAACAGTCCTAAATAGTTCTAAAACTATATGTATTTTAAAATAAAAACTTTAATTAAAATTATTTTATATTTTTATTATAAATATTAGAGTTATATAGTTAAAAGTTTTATAAAATATATAAAGCGTTTTTTTTAATTTCTATGATGTTGACACATTTTTATTTTTTAAGGCCTTTTTTTTAGTATTTTTCACAGTGATAAGTTTTTTAAACATTTTGTTTTTTATAATTGTTGTTAATTACAACAATTTTGTTGATTTTAGCAACAATAATTGTTAAATTTACAAGTAGTAGCAGTTCAAATTCATTTCATAGTTATTTCTGGTCTCCACAATCTCGATAGGATCCACTTTATATTCAGTTGCAGCATCCTGTTTAACAGGTTTAATTGATTGAGTCCTTGCTTCTGCTTCTTTAACTTTCTTCATATCGGTATAACCGGGAAAACCTTTTGGTGTTAATTGGCCAGAGAATGCATTTACAGTTTTGAATGCCCGTTTGCTTCTATTATTTTCTGATTTACTATTGTATCGATTTTCGAATCGTTTTTTCCATTTATTGTAATTGATAACATCATCGGTTTTCTTATTCTTGTCGCTTGCTTCCAGCAATTTATTACATGATGTATATGTTGAACATCTTGGCATTAGCTTCTTCCTTGACTCCTGTCTTCTTGGTTGTAGTTTAACGTGTACAAAAGGATTGCTACGCAAAGGAACTATAAAAATATTCGACGATTGTGTAGCACCCATTTTACTTCAGTTCGCAGAGTTTACTAATTTAAATAATTTTCTGAAGCTACTAAATACTTTAACGCACTTAATCCCTTGGAATACAGACAAAGAATGTTAGCTTCTAGTATAAATTTTGCTCTTTTTATACCTTAAAATAGTGCAGGTAGGTAAAAAACTTTGCTTTAAAAAATTTTAATAAATTATTATTTTGCTGAAAACACATTTCGCAATTCCAGGTAATTTTATTAGAAGTTTGTTTGTAGCTTAAAAAATAATTCGTTATGCTTGGTGCAATAACATAATTTCTCAGAATTGCTGCACAATACCACACACATTTCTTAAAATATAGATTTTTAAATATTAAGATTTACTTTTTTGTTTCTAAAATATAACTCAATAAATAGTAAAAGATGTTTTGAGGAAAAAAATTCTACCTAAGTAGAGTTCGTAAATTAACTTTTCACCCAACTGGTCACTCACAATGTCACTTGAAACCAATTAAGTTTTACCTTCAATTGGAAATTTCTGGCAAATTACTAAAACTACTATTTTACCATTATGATTGTCCTTAAGACATACTGTCGTCCTTTATATCTAAGTAAGTTCGTACAGTGCAAGTGCAATAATGTCAATCATCTACACTTGTGACCAGAAAGCCACACAAATACCCGTAGCTTCCTTTCTAATTTAACCACGATGGTGCGTAACTTTGCTATCCTTTTGATAGCAAAGTCAAACTTACACATTTGACGACGTGTAAGTACATCTTGGTTATTGCATATGTCATTGAAAAATGTAGGATTAGCTAACGTTAGTATTTTTTTGTAATTTAAAACAAATAAAATATATACTAGATAATGGTTGAAACTGCGCACATATTGAACTGAAAGTGAATTTTTTTATTTATATGGAATACGTCTCAAATGTACTTTAAAAAGACATCATGATTCAAGTTTCTCCAATCTAGTGTAATATGATTCATGTTTGTGAAGATTTTATATCTTTTTGAAATTACAGTAATTGTGAAAGTATTGCCTTTAATTAAACATTTATTTATTGAATCATTTAAACAAAACTTTTTTGTCATTTAAAGTACTAAATCTCGTGCAAGAAGTTAAGTTTATTGGTAGTTTTTAGTTTGGGTTAAGATTAACAATAGGTACATTTTATGTATATTGTTCGTAATATGTTACATTTTGGATAACAGATATTTAATATTAATTTTTGTTTTTTTTTTGAAAAACCATTTTAACAATTTTTACTAACTACTTCAGATCGAATAATCACCTATCGAAGTTAGGAATTCAATCCAACTCAGACTGCAGATACTGTAGAGAAGAGAGAGAAACTGCATACCATGTGCTTGTGGAGTGTATGGCACTGATTCAAGACTATATAGGCTCTACTATCTTTCATTAAAGAAATTGGAATTGAAGAAACGCTCTAATCCGACTAATAGGCACAATAGATCTTTTATGTCACAGTGCACGATCCCTTCTTTTAATAATAATAATAATAATACTAACTGCTTCTGTACCAATAAACTTTAAAGAAAATCTATCGATTGACAATTCTAAGCAATATATAGAGTGTGAAAAGTTGTCTAGTAAAATACAATGAAATCGTATTTGACAGCATAATTTTAAAACGCTTAAAGGGCAATAATAAAATAATTAATGTTATTATTTCATTTAAACTTCTTTTACATTACAAAAACAGATTTATTGTAGATAGTAGATATTCTATGATATCTTTTTATTACTAAGAGTAAATTGCTTTGTAAGAAAACCCTTTTGAGTATTTAAATAAATAAAATAATTTATAATAAAACTAATCTGAACTGATTGAGACGCATTAGGTGCCAATAATTATTATTACATTTGAATGCAATAAATGAGGTGTCCTATATTCAGTTTTTTATTATCCATGTAATATATCTATTTCGAGCAAGACAATAATTATAAAGGTATAGGGTAGCGAATAATCCAGCAATTTCATCAATAAAAGTTCTAGCATAAAATCCACTTCTGGATTCTCAAGAAGATATGCTGATTTGGTCATCAACCAAAAGACAAATAAATGATATGACTTCTTAGCCTAGTTAAAGCCTAGTGTGGAGTAGTGATTATAGTCATTATAGAGTAAAAGTGCGTAATAGCACTAACTCAAGAACAAGAAGAAGAAGAATAATTGTTGACAAATAATTATTTTTAAATATTTTGTCAGTGAATGAAAACTATGTTTTGAAAAACCTTAAAAATGGAACAATTTTTACACTTAAACATTTGCCTGTATAAATAAACAAAGAGAGTAAACCTTTAATAAACGATTTTACCTATTATTTTGGTTTAACCCGCGTAATTTAGAAATGTGTTCGGTCACTCACTGCAAATTAGTTTAAACGCCCTGAATAGTATTTTCCGACCAAAGAAAATTTATGTTCTTTAAAAACAAAACACGCGAAATATTATTTAGTATGCAATATAATAGAAGGAGAGGTTTTTAAAATAATAAAAAATATTTTTAAAAAGTGCGAGTAGAATATTTATTTCTTTATAAAATTAAAATATTTTATATTTTAAATAAAATTTTTTATATTTTAATTGCATTAATATAAAGTTTAAGTGTGAACGATAAAGATCATAATATATTTATTCAAAATTGCATGTTGCTCTTTAGAGTACGTATTATGCCGTGTACCTGACATATAAAAGTACCAGAAACGCTTAACATGCAATCCTCTTAACAAATTTATTCCTTTTAAAATGCTAATTTTTTCTTGATTAAATTTTGCAATTGCATTTAATATATGCGTATACAAATTTTTTAAATTAAAATATGAAAATATTTCAAATTGAATTCCCAGTTGGTTTAAGTGTCAATGCGATGCTTTTGCATCCATAAAAGCCTTTAATTTGCTTCACACAAATAAAATTCGTAAATATTTTTCGTCTAATACTATCTATGCTGCGGTTGTTGACATTTAAATTCCCTCGTCGCTGCACTGACTTACTACCATAATATTTCATATCTGTATCTGTAGACCAAAAATGATGTTAGCAGAATATTTCATCAACTTTTGGATGCTTTGACGCTATTCAGTAGCTTACAAACCGCATTTGGTTTGATATTCTTCTTTTTCATGCAATGTACATATTCCTGGTCTGCCAAAATGTAATTTGGGAAAATTTTGTAAATTATATTCAAATAAAAAAATATCAAATTTTTTTTTAAATTTGTTATATGCTTTTAAATTTAATTTAATATAAACTCAAGTATATTTTAAATTACATTATTTAAAATATTAACATTTTTATTTCGAAACTATGATTATCTAGATAGCGTGAGAATGGAGCATTTATAAGAAAATAAAGTTAAGATTATTGTAGTATGGCGTGAAAAATATTAAATTGAAATATTTAAGTTTGCAAAGATATTGTTTAATTATTAATTATTCTTTAATACAATAAAGAAAAAAAAAACTCATTTAAAAGAAATTCTTTAATGGTTTTTTTATTATTTAAAATCCGGCTGTAGGTTGAGTGCAATATAGACGATAGAACAAATAGGATGACGAAATAGTTTTCATAATATTAAGTTATACCTATTAGGTCGTGATCTTGATGATGACTCTCAAAGAGAGTTGAAATATAGAATTTAGAAACAATTCCTTTTATGATAAGTCCCACTTTGAAATTTTGAAAAATTCATATCTTACTCAAGTAATATATTGATATTCGCTAAACATCACATCAAGTATATGTTGTAATTTGATCTA